TATGGCTGGGACTTTAGTGCAACTTTCGTGCTTTTTGTCAATAATGTACAATTTTTAAAAATATAATAATGATTATCGCAACTATTTTATAAATGTATAACATTAACTGAATAGAGGATTTTTTGTTACCCTTTGACTGATTCACTACTTTTATGAGTCTGAATATTAAATGACTCATCAAGTCCTAGCTCTAATTATTTGTGATAAAGAATATGCAAAATATTTTTAAAAAAAATTTAATAAACAATTAATATGTTTTAATCAATAATATCTAATGAAATGTAAAATATACAACTCAAAATTTAATAAATACAATGATATTTTAATTTATAAATAAAATTAATAAATATATAAATTACCAAAATAACTTTTAAATAAATATCATTTTACAATAAATAACAAAAACCTTAATCTTCATAACTCATTAAAAATATTATTTAACGTTTATATTTTTAAGTATTTGATTCAAGTTTTGAACAACTAATATAGTATAACAAATCTTGTAGAATCACATTATCTTATCTAGTTAATTATAATTTCTTAAGCTATTGTATTAAAACATATGAAGGATTACAATAAAAAAATACATAATATGATTAAATATTTCTTAATCGTAGTTTAAATAAAATTAATTTAAAAAATGAATAGTATGAATAAAATTTTTAAACTATCGTTTCAATAATTTTTATATTAACTTAATTATATAAGTAATATGTGATGTATAGACATAGAGCTATTATGCTGACAGTCGACACCATTTTATCAACTCCTGAACATTGATCATGTGTGTATTCAATTTTATTGCACTGATCTTGGTTAATTTGCAACTGTTTGTTCGTATCAAATGTAAAAATTATGGCGATCTGTTCTAAGCGAAAATTAATGTAAATTCGCTCCACCCAATCACATTTATCCTAATAAAAACACAAAAATATATCATAATTAGTTAACTGAAAAATTAATTAATTAATTTACTATTTTGTTAAGTTTATTTAACTCTGTTTTATAATATAATATTAATAAAACTATAAGAGCATAGTAAAATATTTTTTAATTCTATTAAATTTTAATATTTAAGATTAATTTTAATTATGCAACTGATGTACAGTAGATGTATACTAAATATTACATTGTAGTTCTTTAAAACGCAATCGTACATGTCCCACATTTTGCAACAATAATACTTGGTCTCTTTTTGGGTCACAAAACCGTTTTTGCAAACTTTGGCCGTGTTGATTTTATCAACGCAATCATCAAACCTGTTACCAATATTACCACGATGTGCGTTGACCAATGTAAACGATGTAATGTTTACAGCGCTTACATTATAGGCGCATACGGCCAATAAAGTGATCATTAAACAATTATTTAGCATTTTCAAATTATTTTTACTTGTTAATTATAAAATGTTGATGATGAAAAATACTTTTTTAACAATTGAAATTATAATAAAAGTAACCCGTTAGAAAGATTTGTGATATGAGCGTTTGTTAAAACATCCATATTTATACCATGTAGATTCTCAACTGATACAAGGATTGTTATTGCAAGTACCGTTTTGAAATTTATATTGTTATCATAACTAAATTAGCTTTATTACTTTATAATCAGTTTGCAAATCTAAACTAAATAAGAAATAGTGTAGTGTTGTATAATTAATATAATTAATTATTAGGGAAACCAGCCATGTTTTTTAAAAATATATATTTCCGTATGATTCATTTGTGTATTTTCATCACAAATGCAACACTCGTAAGCTAATAGACATACAATATTAATAAATATCCTTTTATGCTATAATATACATTTATACTGTATATGTAATATATACTTTAATTTATTTTAGTTTTCATTTTAGAATTTTAATGATTAAAATAATATATCCATAATAAAATATAAAGACAATATGCTGTTTGTTGATACCATGTCAGCGCTGGAACAGTAATCATGGGTGAATTCAATGTTGTTGCAATCGGCTTAGTTGATTGTTGGCCGTTTGTATCATATTTGAATTGTTCTGTAAGTCTGTCCTAATTAAAGTCGGTATTGTTATCATATAATTATTGCTATCAATTACTTAATATAGTTATATGTGAACTATTGTTATATTATCATATATGGTAATAAATATTTGTTATTGTAATTACAAATTTTAATATTCTATATGAAATAATTTATTACTTACAATAAAAATTAAATTATTTCACTATTAGCGCAAATACAAATTATATTTATGTAGAACAATATAAAGCACTTTACCTGCCCACATATATTATTTAATTACACATATATTATTTTATTGTATATTATTTCATAAAACAAAGTTGTAGCTAAACTGAAAATCACGTATTCAACAGTTGATAACAGCAATTATTAATTAAGCTTAATAAGACAATATCTTCTAATATGCGCCTAATAATTCATACCTAATACATAATATTTTTAAAGTCATATTAAGAAATAATTTTGATTTAAATAATGTTTTTAATTTAATGTCATACATTATACAAAAATAAATTCCGCATAAAAATGGTAAAATGTTATACAATTATCTAAAATATTAGACTTGAATTATAATTGTATATCAGGTGAGATAATTGTAAATTGTGTTTGGGGCATATGAGTTATCTAATATTAATCTAGAAAAATATTCACTAATAAATATAGCGTATTTCAAGTGAAAATCAAGGTTTACAAACTATATATTGACTACAAAAAAATCATTATTAAGAATAGTGATAGAAATTTAAATATTTGTGATATTATCAATATATTTATGAGAAGTTTTTTTTAATTCTCTACACAAATACTTTTACAACAATAAAAACTATTAACAATTAAAATTTAATTAATAAATACTGATATTTACCCTCAATCTGTATTTTTTTAAAGGCATATATCTCATCATCCAATTTTCAAACTTTAAATATTGGCCCAAACCCTGAAACCAAAATCAGCACTTCATAGATATAATGTACCAAAAAGTATCATTTGTGTGAACGTCACCTGTGTTAACGGATCATTTGTGTAAACAATTTGGTACAATTATTATACAACATTCAATGTATTTTAGGATCTGTTGTGTGAACCTCAAAAAAGTAAAACCTTTTATGATATACAGTATAGAGGACAGCATTAATAACATGTGTTTTGTACAAAAACTCTAATTTTATTGCTTTAACATATTAGCCAAAAAACAAGTGTTTGGTTTATAAAATCATTATGGTTTATAAATCATTAGCAAAGTGATTTTTAATATGGACTTATTTTTGAAAATTATGGATGGAGTTATGGACATAAAAATGCCAATATATGGACTTATATATGGACATTCAAACTTAATTATACTAAACTAAAATCTTTTTAATATTAATTCTTATTAAGAAATGAGTTAAACGGAGTGGTATTCGATGTACAAAATGATTTTTTGATCATATTTTTTAATTTATTACACATAGAAAAAATATTTTCATTGTTTGAATGATTTGTTTAGTTCTGTTTGGAAACACACATTGATTTATAAATAATATATTTATTTATATGTGTAAAAATATTGAATCTGTGGACAGTTTATGTTATGTAAAACTTTTGAGACATTATTTACAGCCAATCATTTCATTAAATTGTCATTTTTATGTAGAATTATGTCCAAATTTTTATAGAATTATGTGATTTAATGCTATTTTTGAGTGTTTTAACCGAAATATCCTATATATGGACATATTTATGGAGATATGGAGTTTGAGGTAAAATATGGACAAATATGGAATATAAATGTGGTCTCAAAACACCCCTTATTTCATGATCGGTGGAGATCTTTCAATTTCCAAGTGATTTGAATTCACACAAAAAACATGGATTTCCATAATCTAATTCTCTTTGATCATTAGTTACTTGTGCAAAAAATGTGAATGAAATGCAACAAAGTGTTTAAAACTTTATTTAAATCATTAAAACAACAGAAAATTACAGACTATTTTTCGTTTAACGATTTAAACGTAGAATTTTAAATATTAATATTTGTAATCATATTAATATTTGTATTTTAAATATTGTTTTAAACATTAAAATCTAACAAAAATAAAACAAATCTAATGTCTGAAAATATAGTATAAAATAGTGATAATTATTGAATTTTGCGAAACAAAATCTCGTAGAAAACTGATGAATCATTAAATTTGAGTTTACTTAACACTGAATTGAATTTCATATGATTAATGATAACTGTCTTATCAATAGCCCACTCGTTATGTTTGGCCAACACTTCCCGACACTCAGGCCTTTGCTTATAGTCAGGACTCGACTGCATTGACTGCAAAGTCTGGATAAGATTATCATAAAGTTTTTTAAACTCGGATTCAATTGCTTGAGACGAATGCGAACTATAAATAAATATAAAATATAAATATAACAACAATTAGAATACAACAAAAATAATTGATAAAAACACTTACATTTGTGGATCAATACTATAGATCTGTTCGGCGATTAATGCGAGACTATAAATGTCTGTTTTGTGGTTATATTGCTTATAATGGTATACTTCGGGTGAACTATAGGTCAAAGTGCCCACACCTAACGTATGGTCGTTACTTGGAGTTTGCTTATTAATGTCGTGATCGGTGGCCAAACCAAAGTCACACAGTTTTATAAACCGATTGGACGTAAAGTTGTGATCAATTAATATGTTATCGGGTTTGAGATCCCGATGAATGACTGGAGGTTTGCATTCGTGTAGATATTGGACACACTCTAAGAGCTCTCTGAATATCTCACATGAAATAAAATACTCGAACACATTATTCATGTGGTCTTCCGGTTGTCTCTCGAAGACAATGGGTTTGTCTTTGAGAAGCGATCGAAGATTTTGCGAACAGAATTGCATTTGAATGTAGAGATGATTGGACTCAAGCCATGAGTTAAAATACTTTACCACAAAATCTGAGTCCAGTTTTGCCAAATTTTTTACTTCATTAATAATTTTTTGTTTCTTTTCTTCACTAAAACCTGGAAACATATTTTATTATAATATAATATAATAACATTGTGTGAGTGATATATTTATTATATTTACCCCCAAATTTTACTCTTTTAACGGCATATATCTTATCATCCAATTTATGCTTTACTTTAAATACAGTCCCAAAATTACCCGAACCTATGGTTGACATCTCAATAAATTGGTTTTTATTAACATAATTAATTAAGTCGCTCTCATCATTATTTTCAGAGTTAATTTTTTGTATTAAGTCATTTAGTACATGATTAGCTCCAATATCGCGGGGGATTTGCGTGATAGATAATATCTCATTTGGTGTTTGTATGGCTGCAGCCCTGGCACGCATTTTAAGTTTGATATAAATAATCACACTCACAATTACTAGTATTATTAATAGCAATAGTAGTGATGGCACTAGTACGATCTTATTCCACGATTTCGATATAGGCGTACTACTAGTTGGCATGAGAATGCACTCACCGTCACTACACCGATGATTATAATCAATTTGTTGACACATTTCATCTGATGTGCATAACTTATACACACATTTGTCATCAATAGTTTTGTAATAATTGAGTTTACAATAACACACATCATTTACGCAGACTTTGTTGTCAATCGAGGTACAATTAGTGCACTTCATTTTATCGGTGCACACAAGGCCATTATTATCGCTACCCCAATAACCCGGTCTGCACACGCATTCACCCGACTCCGAACATATCCTATTAAATTCACCTTTAATTTCGCATTCTTCATCAGTAGAGCAAGGCTTGTAAACGCATTCATCGTCACTAGTTTTATAATAATTGGGTTTACAATAGCACAAATCATTTACACAGACCTTGTTGTCAATTGAGTTACAATTAGTGCATTTCAACTTTTCGGTGCACTTAAGGCCATTAAAAATGTTACCCCAATACCCGGGTGTGCACACGCATTCACTCCACACCGAACATATTCTAGTGTAATCACCGTTTAGTTGGCATTGTGTATTAGACGAGCAGGGCCTATAGTCGCATTTATCATCACTATTTTTGTAATAATTGGCTTTACAATAACATTTGTCATTGATACAAACTTTATTATTAATTGTCTGACAATCGTAGCCGCAATTCAATACATGTTGACATTGACGACCATTAGAAGGGTCTGGCGGAAATCCGGCAGGACATATACAGTTACCAAATAGACATTCTCGAACAATATCGCCGTTTTTCTGGCACTCTTCGTCTACTGTGCACATCCTAAACTGACAATCACCTTGGTTGTTGTAATAGTAATTTGGCTCGCAGTAACATTCGTCCCAAATACAGACTTTATGTTCACTTGTATCGCAGTTTTTACAATTATTGTTCAATGTATAAACATTATTTGCACCATTTTTGGCCACAATTGTATTATTAACCGCCAAACATAACACTATGAATATTAACAATCTCATAATTATTAAAACCAAAATACAATATTTATAATTCATGATACGTTGGAAATTATTAAATTTGTCTAAAAACAATATTGTGTATATATAAACTTATAAATATATATAAATTTACTTCACTTTAATTTATATATTGTAATTAATGCATTATACTATTGTTACAGTACTTTTACTTTTTATTGTTATCAAAAATAATTTATATTAGTTTATACTTGTAAAGTAAAAATGAAATTTCTTAGAATTTATATTTTATCTATTTTTGAAAGAATTAACTTTTATTTTAAAGCATAAATTAATTAATTGTAACCCTTATTTCACACAAACACTGTCAATAACTATACACATTTTGTACACATATTACAAAATAACTTATTGTACTAAAAATGACCCAATTGTTACCCTATTTAAGGTCCACTCAATACTACACATATAGACAGTCGACCCAAAAATGTAAATTACATCAAAATACACACGATTTGTGTGCTCGCACTATTTGTGCAAGTATTTAACATAAAGTATTAAATTCAATTCATTAAAGTTATGTGAAAATCACTATAAATTTAGATACTTTACATATCAAGCACGCAATAATTTTTATGATTTTATTTATATGATTTATTTTATATATCATGACTTTATTTACCATTTTTTATCTAAATATTTTTAATGACTGAATTAGATATTAATGACAAATAATTAAATTATTAAGATATCGATTTTTTTCAGAGCCGACGACTGTATACGAGATATCACTGAAAATGTCTGCCGAAGAATAC